GATCGTTTGACGGTAGTGGAGTTGATATCGGTAAGAAAGCGTATTTGGTGTCTGCTCAATTTGGTATTGACAGGGAATATGGAACTGGCTCTAGTAGTAAAGATTTAGATATTGAGAAGAGAAGAAAACCGTATTTAGATGGATCAGGGAACATAGGTTTTGGTAAACAAGGTTATAGAAACAGGTGTAAGGTGAGTGGGGACGAAAGTAAAATTCAGGCGTTGTTGTTGCAGAAGAGGTTTAAGCGTGACATGAATTTTGATGGACCAATCAGGGTGCAGGGGAAAAATGGTGTTCTCAAGGTGATGTTGAACAAGCAGAATAAGATGGGAGGGTTACTGCAAAATTTCACTGATGCGGAGGCTGAACAAACTCAGTATGGCTCAAAGATTCAAGAAACTGGTAAAATACGTGTTGCTATCCAGTCGTCAACCACTCTAAAAACTGAGCCGAAACTGCTTCCCCCGGGCAGGATACAGTCAAATGGATTGAAAATGCCCACGGCCTTAACCATCAAGAGTAAGGGTCAGGACCAAGATTCTGAAGATAGCGACACCTCGGAGCGGCTGCAGAAGAGAATCATTCGACCTCATAATCTCTTCCAGGTGTCAAACGCTGGAGGAGGAAAAACTTTACCTGAAACGCCAACGCCTCCGAAAATCAAAGACGGAAAGATTAGGCGAGGTTCAGGCACAGAAAAACAAAGATTACGTGAGCGAATTAGGGAAATGTTACTGGAAGCAGGGTGGACGATTGACTATAGACCTAGAAGGAATAGAGACTACCTAGATGCAGTTTATATAAGCCCCAGAGGAACAGCATACTGGTCTATTATCAAGGCTTATGAAGCACTTCTTAAGCAGTTAAACAGTGAGGAAAAAGTGGCCAAGCCTTGTGAAGATGGTTCCGCATTGACTCTGATCTCAGATGAGATACTTAGTCAGTTAACACGGAAAACCAAAAGAAAGATGGAACAAGATATGAAAAGGCAGGAACAATGTGCCAGTGATAGTGATGGAAAAGCGACTTTTGCAAGAAATTTCTCAGCTATTAGAAATGAAGTAGGAAATGGTGACAGATATGTTCATAAAGAAAACCGAAACTCCTCTCATGAGATGGTTGCCATGTCAATGAAGAATGAGGTCAATYACAGAGATGGTTCACTGGGTACAACTTCAAAAAGTGAAAGCCCTTTGCATCATCAAACTGAAAAATCAACTGGTTCCTCCTCTCACCGTGTGGATGGAGGGAAAAGTAGCAAACATGGTAGGAGTACATTGTCGGTACGGCATTCAGTCAGAGGAGATAATTCAGAGAGTGATGGCTTTGTACCCTCATGTGAGAAAAGGACTGTACTGGGATGGTTGATTGATAATGGAACCATACAGTTGAGTGAAAAGGTGATGTACATGAACCAACGACGGACACGCATAATGCTTGAGGGTTGGATAACTAGAGATGGAATTCACTGTGGTTGCTGTAGTAAAATTCTTTCAGTTTCCAAGTTTGAGATACATGCTGGAAGCAAATTACAGCAGCCATTTCAGAACATATTTTTGGATTCTGGGGTTTCTCTTCTTCAGTGCCAAATCGATGCATGGGACAAGCAGAAAGGTGTTGGGCACATTGGTTTTTGTTCGGTAGATGTAATTGCTGATGATCCAAATGATGATGCTTGTGGTATTTGTGGAGATGGAGGTGATTTAGTTTGCTGTGATGGTTGTCCTTCAACTTTCCACCAAAAATGCCTGGACATACAGGTATGCTGATTTTGCTGTATATTTATTTGACTTCTTTTCGATAATTTTTAACGAGTCAGTGTTAGGCTATGCAAAAAGGAAACACAATGGTCTATGTCGTGCACCGTATAAACAGGTTTTAGAACACAAATTTAGCTAAATGAACGGATAAGATCAATACATATAGAAAGTCTAGTGAGCTGAAGTGTTGTTGACTTTTAACTACATCAGCGTTGTTTTAGGGTCATCTGATGCCTTATTGGATCTTTTTGAGGTTCAATTACAGATGTTTCCTCTTGGTGATTGGCATTGCCCCAATTGTACATGCAAATTCTGTAGGGCAGTTGTCAAAGATGTTTCTCAAACTGTGGGTGCAAATACCTGCAAAATGTGTGAGAAAAAGTGTACGTCATTATTCTTTCACTGCCTCGAATATTACACTTTTGTTTCCACACAGTTTTGCTTGTAGTTTCTAGTTGACGTTTGATTTTTCCCTTTCTAGATCACAAATCATGCATTCTGGAGGCAAATGTTACCCCAACTGATACCACTGAACCAATCATCTCCTTTTGTGGGAAGACGTGCAAAGCGGTACTTTTCTTTCAAGTCTCATAACCCTTACAACTGTCGTTCAGTTTATAGAATCGTGATACAGCTTCTAGGCGGCAGATATTGAGCGTCTTTTAAATTTTTGCTAGGTGA